GCTTGCCCGAAAATAGTCCTGGAACTCCAGGATAATTAGGTGTTAAAGTCTAGGCCCTGTTCGGTATGTTCAAAACCAAATTCGGGAGATAAATCATAAAAAGTAAAGATTACAGGTGAGATTTTTATAAATGATATGACATCTATCGTTGAGATCGACGAACCTTTGATCAACGTCGACAACTTAATTTTTGTTTTATTGCACAAATATTCCAATAGGAGAAAACGTCGCTCTTTTGAACTCCGTCCGTTCGTACAGTTGACCTTGTTGTGGCTCGGGCATCGTTTATTGTAAAGGTTTGCTTCAACTGAATCCTTATATTTCAAATTATCATTCATTTTTAAAAAGAATTTTTGACTTTCCTTGTTTGGCCCTTGCGTTGGTCGTGATTTTACGGGCTTTTTGTCTACATTTGTCTTTTATTTTTGTTAGATTTCACATCAAGCCGAAGCCTATTATAAGACCTTTTTAGTAATTCGGTAGTAGTTATACTCCTCTTCTGCAAGTAGAGTAGTCGCCCTCCCCTATGAAATTTAGAGCTATCAACGTAGTCGGTACATATGTAAGCTCACTTTAGGTTTCTTGTTCTCTTATACTGTAGTTTGTTTTGGGACTGTTGTGAGTCAGATCGAAACGTAGGGTACGCTACACATTTTAAAAATTACAGCTGTTGTCAGTTTTGTTAACTTGTCATGTCGTATTCCGCATTTGTTTTCTGTAAAGTACTGGAGAATGCATTCTTATTCACGCATCGGCATATCTTTAATAACAAAACCAAGTACACTCCCCTTACGGGCCTAGAGCTGGCCGCAGAAAGCCTGACGGTTTATGTAATATATTGATTGGGTTGGTAATTTTCAGCGAACTACGAAGTACGTCAAAAATCTCGGTTGATATCCCGTTTCATTCAACTATTGAGTATGCTTCTTTGGCTTTATAATTATACGCCGTAGTTTATATAGATGCTTGGAGTACAACAATATTTTCTGTCAGTGTTACCTCATATCGTTATGTATAAATCTCCTTTTTTCGTCTCGTTTTGCTTCGAAACCTCTTTGCTACCGCTCACGTGGTAATAATTACTTTCGAATTGTAACATAAAGTGTGTTCTTATGTACGGTGCTGCGTACATGTGTGCGGTTGAATTATAAACAGTTTTTTGATACGTATTCCGTCCAAAAATGGGTACGCTGTTGTTAATGCTGTTTTTTATAGTTCCCACACCCTTTCAGTGTTCGAATACTATTCTATATATTCATGACTAATAGACTAGCTCTTTTATTTCCGAATACTTGCCTTAGGAAAATGAGTAGGATAGACCCGCAATAAGGCACTTATGTTTTTCAAAAAAAAATACTCTGAAGTCTTTTATGAGGTCGTCTGAATCGATTATTTCGCTGCGTTGGTTAGGTCGCAGCTTGCTTGGTAATATGCTCACTTTTACCAAAATTTTGGCTGCATCAGATGGACTCTTCACTCTTCAGTTGCTTTTTTTTGCCTCGTTTGTCTTATATCAGCCCGATATGTCAACCTGGTGTCCTACCAGGAAGCCAATAATCGTCATGCGTCGGAAAAGCCCGCGTTTTATAGGTCTATTACTCGGTTTCTGGTTGAAAATACTTCTAATTGCATATATTGTGCTGTAGCAAGCTGCAAAACAAGAACGTTTGAAATTGATCTACGTTTCCTACACTAAATACAGCTTTCAGATCTTTTCTTTTACTAACATTTGATGATTATTAAGTCTTAAACGTACACTTTGGGCGCTGTTCCTACTACCGTCAGACCCTATTGCATTTTGGCCAAAGTGAACGATCTGAACTTACGACCAAATCGTGCAGGATTTTCCTTATTTTTTATAGCATTTGTTTTTCAGTATCATTTATGCGTACTCTGCAGTTTGATGCAGATGTCCTATTCGAAAGTCCTTTCTTCTCTTCTCATAGCTCGAGGGATCCTCTTGGTTACTTGTTTCATCAACACCTTGGACAGGTCAGCGTCAAGAAATGTTTAGTACATTATGATGTAATGCTTCTGACGGAGAATCCCAATTTGATTGCTCTTATGTATCCCTACTCAACCTCATTCGGGCCGCACGCCTCTGAAACCACTGATTCTGCTTTGTCCCACAACGTACCGTCGCAGCAGGTTCCCCCTCCTGTTACTTCTCCCTTAATTTACGCCCAACCGACCTCGCCGTTAGCACTGCCTCAGCGCAGTGGGGCCACCCACTTTACTCAACACCTTTACAATACACCACAGAAGTCTACAACACCACGGAGTTTCCTTGCAACGAACGGCAGTCCTGATCTTATGTCAGTATCGATGCAGGCCCCATCCAACACCTTTCAGGGTTGGCCACCACCGGTTAATGCGAACACCAACAGCAATGGAAATAGTAGTACTGCGGGTTCTCGGTTTCCTCAACCACCGCGCCGAGGCCCGTCTTCACTAGCGACTCAGCCAGTTAGCTTTAAGACGGACTTCTCTTCTGCCCTCGCCCCTCAACCATCTCACCTTTTCCGACCACATCCTCACCTGGCTCCAGTTAGCCCCTGTCCTGGAGCCCCAAACACAAATGTGAACGGTCTAGATGCCTCCTCTTTTACACACGTAGACCCGTCAAAGGGCTACGGTTGGAGACGCAGTCAGTCGACCAATTGGAAGGAGAGACCGCATGTTGGGAAATACAGTCTCATTCGCACGATAGGAAAGGGGAATTTCGCCAAGGTCAAGCTAGCTCAGCATGTCACAACGGGGATGGAGGTGCGTTTATATTTATTTTGTCTTGCCTCATGCAGTTGATCGGTTTTTCCAGGTTTAGAGTGACTTGTAGATAGAAAATTTGGAACGGTTTGATTACTGTGACCTCATTACAACTGCATTTTTTGGGAAATGAGCTGGACTGGTCCCTTAGTTTGCCAACTACATCATACTCTATAAGTTACACTTACTCGCTCGCTCGCCTATAATCCTATTCTTTTGCATATGCAAGTGTCTCTGCTGGCCCAAAGGAACTTCGGTAACAAAGGAGGGGAGGGGTTCTTATATGTCCACATATTATAATTTTATCAGTAGCCTAGCCCGTTAGCCTTCTTCACAAGAGTGGCATGCTCGCATCAAGGTTTTAGGGTTTGTATTTTACATGGCTTCTTTGTACAAGTTATAAGAGGGCATTTGAGAAAAGAAGTTTTGAGGGAAACTGACTCCATTTTAGAGTTTCCTAAAACTTACTTTGGTCTTCGGTTTTGAGTGTGAATTCAGCACCCCTCATAATTTTCTTTTGTTCACCTCACGTCAGTTCTAAAATCCTGAATATAATGGCCAGGATAAAACTATTCACAATTTTTAGCTTTTATTGCAGAGCTCAATGGTATGATCTGATCGCTTATAGTGCGATAGGTTGAATAAGTTAAACACCACAGAGTGATGGAAGCGGACAGTAAGGGATGACCATGCGCACAAGTTGCTGAAGAGCATCCTTAACCAAGGCGTTAAATTTTTTGAATACTCCCCACATTCTTTCTTCGCATATGTAGAGACTGGGTTGAATCTGAGAACTTTCGTTGCTCCAGGTCACTGTTTGTGGAAAAACAAGTTCTCAAATGGTATTAGT